ATTGTTCCAAAATGATAAAAAAAAAGAAAGTCTTATTTTCTATTAGTGAATTCAAAGTAAAAAAACAACTGTTTTGAATATCCTTGCTCACCTTTGTTGTAAAAAAATGTTTCAGTATCTTCATTCAGCATATTGTTTCCGAAAAAAAATTTAGCACTTCGTCGTTCTCTGGAATCTTTTGAAAAAAAAAACTCTAGGTTAAAACTTTGGCCTTCTTGGTCTGTACAAAAAAATAACACTATCTGACATATTGCGCTAAAAATTACGAAAAAAAAGAATACTAGAAACCTCATGTTGACTTTTGTAAACTAAAAAAAAAAACTTGTATTTGTAATACGATGTACTAGCCAATAAAAAAAAGAAATTAACTCGTGAAATGTAGTAAATGGCTCTTAAAAAAAATGATCCGATCAATCGTTCGAATCTAATGAATATAAAAAAAAGGAAATATATGTACTCATATAACGAAGAACTAATGAAAAAAAAAGATGAGCACCAATGAACACTAAACATATACGTAAAAAAAACCGATGTTTGCTGTCAGTGTCATTTGATGGACACGAAAAAAACATGCAATATTCCGAAGAATATATTTGCTGAATATAAAAAAAAACCTTTATTTTATTAATACATAGAAGTGTTACATAAAAAAAAACAATGATCTTTAGCCAATCAAAAAACACGTTTGAAAAAAAAATAAATTTTCAATTACGTCAGACTCGACTCTGGCAAAAAAAGACATAACATCTTTTAATGGTCATCAAACCATGACAAAAAAAACAGCTTATATCGAGATATGCTTAGTATTTACAAAAAAAAAATTTGGTTTGGTTTTTCAGCAGGTTTGTAGAAGTGTAAAAAAATCTTGTAGTTTGTAAGAGTTTTGCGTTTTCATATGAAAAAAAATTGACGTCTTCTACTAGTTCCTAGGTTTTTATCTAAAAAAAGATAAACGTGAAGAAAACGTTGTAGCTAACGTTTCATTCAAGACACCCAGACTTGATTCCTTAATATGTTTACAAAGAAAAAAAGTCACCTGTATTATTTGCTCTATCATGGGTAGCATAAAAAAAATTTGAAGAAGACATTCCACCCAAGAGCATTTTCCAAAAAAATCTAGCTCGTTGGTTCAGACCAAAAGCCAGTGCTAAAAAAAARCCCTGAAGACCATTCAATACCACGAAAGGATACCAAAAAAAATCCATACCAAACGGAGCRATGAAGCCCAGCATCCAAAAAAAGCCCATAGCGGATGCGATACGTACGTAAATGCCAAACGTGTTTTTGCGATTCTTGTGATCCGCTGCGGCTCGTGCTTAAAAAAAGGTGACATTTATTGCTCTCATCGTCAAGATGTACGAAAAAAAGTTAAACGCAAGGATCAACACTACAGGAGCAGCAAAAAAAAACAAGATAGCCCACGGATTGGACATCCAGCATGCYTAAAAAAATTGGTACCCAATGRTYACTGTATTRGTCARGTCRAAAAAAAAACAGATTGMMACGTACACCATGRCAGACAGCCATCAAAAAAACATATATCGTAAGSWATGYARCAGTCTTCCGCGCTAAAAAAAAKYCATGSAACGTCTTCCTTTTGCAGTGAATGCCCTCCAAGTGTCAAAGGCGATGATGGACGTCCACACGAAAGAAACCAGGAAAAAGTAGTGAAGAAGAACAGCGATGGCAGTACAAGAAAAAAAGTTGTCTGTCTGTCCACTACCAAGAAGCCACAAKAAAAAAAAGAGCAGAATGGYAACGCTGAGGTTCATGAGGTTAATACCTGGTGGTGTTCTTAGCTCGGTGTACAAGGAATAGGTGAAAAAAAAAAAGACCAGTGAAATAATCGACATTGACATGCACAAAAAAAACACTGCAGCCAAAATATCGTCATTTTTCTTAGGCTAAAAAAAATTTTCACAGATAAACAAACTACGGTTTTGCCAGAAAAAAAACGAAATGTTGTAGAGTCGCGCAGACGATTTAACAAAGATGGACTTGTTCTCGAAAACTTTAACTTCCGCTTCGTTCAAAAAAAACCACTGTTTGGAGCAGTGTGTTGCTCGATTTTGACAAAAAAAAAGTATTGRTTGATTGTTTTTTGTTAATCCATCATAAAAAAAATATTCTTTGGACTGCAGTACTTCGCCTGTACTTTAAAAAAAGACAGCTGACTGGYTAACTATAGGAACGAAGTATTAAAAAAACTTGAAGACTTGTAGGTTGGGACAACTCAAAACTCAAAAAAAAGATTTGATGACTTTCCAAGTACAAGCTTTAACAGAAAAAAAAAAGGATTGTTTAAAATTCAAGATCTTTTGGAACAAAAAAAATAAAGTCGAAGAACTATTTAGTTGAACGCTCAATCAAAAAAACCCCATGTCTCTTTGATTTTGAAAGCAAGACCACAGTACTTGGTTTTGAGAAAGTTTAAGAGCATTARCCAATTCCTAAAAAAATAAATATCTAATCGAACAGGATYTAWCAATTCTCTAAAAAAAAATCGTGACCTCATACTGAGTAGAATCAGATACTTAAAAAAAGCGTGGAAGMGTCTTCCTACAGATTTCCAAATATGAAAAAAACACGTCACCAGAGAAACAATTAACAATTGGTTTAGTGGTATCCATAGCTACGCCACTGAAATCAAAAATTAAGGACATTGGCTTGATTTGTGATTCCGGGTTGGTATAATTACAAGGGRAAAAAAAACCCTGCACTKTTCKTATCGGATAGATTGGACCACATATAACTTCGTGATTATAAAAGCCATTACAATTAGCGCAATAAAAAAATCTGTATTGGTRACCGYTGGCAACAACCACCCCAAAAAAAAATTGGTTACAGGGATTATACTGCACAGGTGAACTGCAAAAAAACTCAAAGTTTAGGCAGTATCGTCTTGGTAGWACGTAAAAAAATGGCTCCCAGGTTATGTCACTACAGTACATGAAAAAAAAAAACAATTTCTGCGAAAAGGTGAAGTGTGCTGGAGGGGAAAAAAAACACTCCATTGACAGTTGATAAGACTTAAGRTCATAAAAAAACACACCGTTACACTGAGCACAAAACCTGTTATGATACACTGTACCATTGCTGGTATATACAGGTAGATAGCGGTAGTAAAAAAAAGTAATCTTATTGKTAACAGAAAGGTTTCTGCACTGGTAGAAGATGTCATCTTTTGGCCAGGTTGTTGGACATGACCAAAAAAACCAAATTCCCTTTRTACCAAAAWYCATATTAATGAAAAAAAAACACTGCCATAATTCTTTTTGTACTGTTAAATAACAAAAAAAGGTGCCTCCTKGTAGACTGAAATTGGTGTTATGGAAATTGATACYCTTTTTATATTTTGATTTACAGAATTTGCTGTAAAAAAAGCAGCAGTCCAGGAAGAATTCACAGTTCGCATCACAAAAAAAAGATGGCTTTTTTTCGTAGGTTTCTTCACGCTGTGAAAAAAATAGGCACTTGTGTCTACAGGACAAGTTCCTGCTGCAAAAAAAGATGAATATCAGTGGCGGTGATGATCGCCGCTTCCAAAAAAACTGAGACTTGACATTATCATGGAGAGATGGCTGTTGTAATGGTTCTTTGTTGGGACTTTTTTCTTCCAGGAAAACACAAAAAAATGTTATTGATTCCTCTGGGTTTTGTCCCTGCTGGTAAAAAAATCCCTTTCGTTTTAAGGAGCTATGAATCTCGTCCGAAAAAAAAAGATTTTTAAAATACACCCCACCCAACTCTTTGAAAAAAAATTCGACACTGCGCCCGTTRATATCTTKCYTGGAGCAAAAAAATATTGTACTTCTAATTTTGCCATCAGAAGAGCCTTGATTTCTCTTCATTTCARTATAGTATCGCTGGACTTGTTCATAAAAAAAGGAAMCAAAGAGAGCATTTCTTTTGAAATGATTTCAAAAAAAATTCAGGACATCACCGAACGAACAATAACCACAGAAAAAAAAAGCACAGAGGCAAACGAACTTTAGCATAGTGAGAAAAAAAAAAAAAATGCAACGGACATTTAGATAACAAAGTAAGAAAAAAAATGGAATAAGTCTACACTTTTCCAGGTTTGTTCAGCGCAGCTGTGGCTTCTCAATGTCATAACACACGGTGTTGTGCAAAAAAAAATACACATTAGAACCGATCACGAAATTAATAATGTAAAAAAACGATTTTATTGATTTTTAATTCTGATTCAAGTGTTAAAAAAATAGGATTAGTCACACTAAGTTCTCTTGGAAAAATTAAAAAAATAATTGAACGCGGCAGAAATTATAAACGTCACTACAATATGCTGCAAGTAATCATTCTAAAAGTAGACAATCTCACCAAATAGGGATGTGAAAAAAGGTTTGAATTTGGAATATTTGAAAATTATTAAAAAAAAAATTAA